GGGGTGGGGGGTTGGGCCGGGCACCAGCTGCACCTTACAGATGCCACCGTGGCTGCCAAGCCAGTCCCAGAAGGCTGCACAGCCTCTGGACTCCCATCACATACCATTGTGCCTTTGTACATGCTCAGGCCACCTCGGGGCGTAACTGTGGAACGGGGGGATGTGACTTAGAACTCCCACCCCAGCTGCGGCTGAAATGAGAGGGGGGGGCCTAAGGGATGCGGGGGCCGTCAACTTGCATTTGAGGTACCTGGACAACGTGGAGGGACACAGGGTGTGGATTCTGGTTATGGAGGAACAGCTCCAGATTCAGCATCTGGAAACGTACATTCAAGTCCAGGCACTGGCACATCACAGCTGTGTGACCTTGGCCTCATCCCTTGATTGCTCTGAACATCAGTTTTCCTACGTGGAGCTGGGGGTGGTCCAGGTGGAGGAAGGCTGTGAGGCAAGGGCCCCTCACGTACTGCCCGTGGGAGTGGAAACGGGAACGTTTGTCTGGAGGGTGATTTGTACCTTAGATCTGTACACTCCACTGGAGCCAGCAATTCACTTCTAGGAATTTATCCTAATAGAGTGATCATGGGTATGTACACAGATGTAGTCATAAGGATGTTCAGTGCAGCATTGTTTGCGGTGTCAAATAATAGGCTATTAATAAAATGGTAGAACATTCATAAAATGGAATTCTATGCAAACACTATAAAGGGTGTTGTGATATTTAATGATATAGAAGGGTGTTCACAATACATTTAAAAGGGAAAGAAGCAAGTCCTAAAATAATATCACAGTATGATTCCAATATATATGTTGGAATACACATATATACGTGTGTGTGTATATATATATATATACATTCAGTCTTATAGGTTCAAGACTGAAGAAAAAGCCTTTAAGGGCAAACATAAAACTGTTAATAATGGTTAATTGTGATGGGATCCTGGTAATTTTTATTGCCTCTTTCATGTTTTCTGATGTTTCTACAATAAACATGAATTACTGTTGATAAGTGGGGAGAAGAATAACAACATCTTAAAAGAAAAAAAATTGGAATGTAACCTATTTAATAGCATGTGGGAGCACCGATAGAGAGAACAGGGGAGAGAGAACTTTGTCAGCTTGGAAGCAGTCCATCCGTCTATGATGATGCTATTATTAGCACAAACATTCCCATTATAAACCTGCATTTCTCCATCTCCTCTCCAGGCACATCAAATGCCAGCCATTTGAGGTGCTCTCAAAAATGACTGAGTGGCTCTATTATTATGCTCCGTGACTGGTGTTCAATATACGGCCATCAATCTTATACCTGCTTATTTAATACAGTGGGAATCAGAAGCCTCTGTTGTTCTTGAGGGTTAAAGACGTTCCTCGATAAACAATATTGGCACCTCTGGACAGTCATAAATCTGCCTATCCCCCGAGCCTCATGCTTCAAGCCTTGACACACAATTCACCCAAGCACTGAGGGTACTGCTGTGGTCGACCTCCCAGATCATTTTGATTAAGCAACGGGAGCACCGTGTCTGCAGTAAATTTACTTCCCAGTTACTTTTTTATCTGAGCTAATGGCAGAGCTAATAATACATCTTCCCTCATGACGCTTGTACTGAGCAGGAGAGCCGTCAGCCTGGGTAGGAATGTTTGTGAGACAGAGAGTATTGCAGAATTTTTAAAAATATTCACCACGGAGACCAGCTATGTCAGAGACTCTGTGTATACACAGCCACGACTCTATGTATGTGTGTGTCCTGAAAGGTGCATCTGTAATGAGCAGATATCCCAAATTTACTGTGTGTTTGCATGTAAAGGAAACTGTTTTCTGCAGCATGAATGAATGAATGAGTGAATGACCGAATAGACAAGCACCTTTCAGCAAACCTCCTCCTAACTGGAACCAGCAGACCCCTATTGGACCCCACCAGCCCTGTCTCATGTCTAGAAAGTCAGCAGCTCTCAAACCACAGAAGGGCTATCCTCTGAGACGCCAAATACAATATACATGTTGGCTGCAAACTGTGGTGAGGTTGTCTCTGCAGGGTCCTGCCCCACCAAGGATCTGCCAAGGAGGAGCAATCCAACCCCCACTCCTATCTCCGCTGCCCGGTGCACAAAATCTGGTCTACGCCCAACCCCAGGCAATGGCACGAAAGAAGACGATTAGGGACATTATTACGGAATGACGGATGACATTGGTCAAATGGTGGCAGTTGACTACTTAGGAACCATTCCTCTCCCTTTTTCTTCCCTACTCAACCCCAATTTAGTTCTGGATGGGAATGTGCCCACCTCCCAAACTCCCTCATACGTTTAGTGTTGAAAATTTGGGGGGAAAAATGAAGAAAAATAATCATCCACAATCACGCTATCCAGAGATCATCACCATTAGTATTTTGGTGCATTTACTTTTCCGGATTCATACACAGTATTAGCATTAAAAAAAAAATCATACTGTAGATACAGTTGGCAGGCTGCTTTTCCCCCTGAACATTCATCAGTGATGAACTTCTCCAGGTCCTTGAGGTGTGACTGCTTGGTTTCTTACCTGGGTCGATGGCAATTATCGTCTCCAGTTCTCTGACCCTCTGAGCGACTGAAGCTGACGCCATGCTGCAGTGCAAAGGATCCTGGGAAATGTGATGGACCTCTGGCATTCCCTCAGGGGTGAGGCATCTGGCCGGAGCCGCTGTACCCTTCAGGTCAGTCATAACTGTGCAACCCGGTGCGCTGGTGAAAGCCAGTGGCATCTCTAAGGCACACAACAGGAGGGTCTGAGCCCAGACCACTTCATCAAACCCTGTCCATGCCCATCTAGCCCACCGTTAATGGGAAAGATGGCGCCCATGCCTTGGCTTAGCCAACGGCACTCCTTAACCATTTGTTGGCACCAGGTCAGAACAAGCTGGCTTACGACTAAATCAAGTTCCACATTAACGGGGGCCCCTGATTTTTAGGAAAGTGAAGATGGGTTGAGTGTGGGCAAAGAAGTGAGGTAACCCACAGCTACAGTTGGGGCTCTAGGAGTTTCCATCAATGCAATCCCATGGGTATCAGAAAGTACTTACTAAACACTTACAACGCATCAAGCCATCTTGCTTTACTTTGCAGCAGTTGTTAGATCGGCTAACAAATAGTTCTCTCTGAACATAGCTTCTATTTTTCTCATGTCCCGTATATTTTGCTTTGGTTTATGTTAATTTTGTTCTCCCCCACTAGATTCTGGGCAACAGATGCACTGTAGAATAGTTATTAAGACATGACTTTGCATGGTGAACACACTTGAGCATGAGATGTGACTTTATCCTCTCTAAACCTGTTTCTTCAACTGTAAAATAATGATAATGCCTCAGCTGGTTGTTGTCAGAAGTGAACTGGAAAATGCACATGAAAGTGTTTAGCAAAGCGCGTGGTCCAGTGTAAGTCCTCGGTATAAGCGATGGTTTGCATTATTGAACCAGGTGCTATATCTTGTCCATTCTCACGTCCTTGTGCCTGGCCTGTTAGGTGCTTAATCCTCACTATAACTTAACTCAGACCTTCTGCTTTCTTCAGTGTCATTATGATCCTTGAGTACTTTAACCCCACCCAGCTGTATATTCCCAGAGAAGAGGGACCATTGCTTATGCATCTCACAAGTGCATACAATAAGTGCTCAATAAATGCAGACATGAACTGAGTAAGTAACGTCTTGGATTTCACAGGAAACTGTAAAATTTCTCAGATCTAACAGAAAGCCAAAGTCAGCCAACACTTCAGAAGGAAAACCTACTGACAGATGTGTCAAGCATTCTAACTTAACTTTCAGCTGTGATAAAAAGTGGAAGAACTAAGGATTTCGATGAACGCAATTGTTTTTCTGTGTTTGCGGCAGAACCTCAAATTGGTCACTCTAAAGCCATCACACACTAGAACAGTCAGCTTGAAGTGTGACATGGGGTTTTGGCCCATCTGTTGCGAGATGTGCAGCAATTAATCTATTGCTAATAGAAGTTTAAATATTGAAGTTTGAGCATGATTTTTATAAATTAGAAAGATTCAAGGTGGTCCCTGACCAATGATGTCATTTGTTCTCATTTACAATCAAATATGCTATCGCAAGTCAGAACTGAAGGGCTGTCGTGTGCTGGGATCCCAGCCGCAGTGAGAGCTCTTCTGCAGGGCATCCCCCTGGCAGGGGACAGGAGAGGGCTGAGACCATCGTGCTGGAGGATATTTACTATGGGTGTGTGGATGTGTGTACACACGTGAGCACACACACACACACTTGTAAATGACCACAAGCTCCCTGAGAACTGCATCTTGTCTCCTGCAGCATTTTATTCCTAAGACCTGGAGGTAGGCTCCCAATACATTTGTGTGAATAAATGAACAGAATCCCCTGGATCTTGGTGTTTATGCCCTGTCACCATATTAGAGATAATCTTCCCATATCATGAGGCCATTCTAATAGCTAAGCGCCCATGATTGCTTTAAAAATAAATTGAAAGTAGCACTAAATTCTATTATTTGTAGTGCAAGCCGGGCTGACCTGGCTAGAATCTTCCTCTGTCTACAACAATGGGCTGCAACAGTTATTGTTAATGTCTCTGTCACATCCTTACCTTACTGTGTGCTAGTTAGGGGGCCCCCGTGTGTCGCTTCAGTGTAATATCACCCTCGGCCTTTGAAAAAATGGACCGACAGTATTGCTTTCAAACACCTGGCAAATACCACGTGAAATGCTTTGCTTAATTGAGTTGTTTGCCTTCACCTTTGCTTTCAAAGCCCCGCTAACCTCCAAGATGTCTCAAAATATCAAGCAAAACTTTGGCGCTTCTGTTAGATTGAGCCTTCCGCTGATAGAAATATATTTAATCAAAACATATTTGAGCTGAAACACAAGCTGCTCTGGTGAGACCCAGCACTGGGATGAAAAGAAAGCAGTCAGAGGGATCTTTGCTGTGGGCTACAGGCCTGTGTTTTATGACTTTATTCCTTAAGTCATTGCACCACAAGCCTATGCATTCAGGAACTGGAAACCCACCCAATTCCCTCCTAGGTCAGAGTAACAGCCCCCTTAAGCCCAGACGTACTGCAGGCGCTGACAGTTTCGAGACTGGTCAGCTGAGAAGGCCAGAACACTGGAACGTGCCCTGGCTGACACACCACAGGCTCCCCGTGGTCAGGTTTGGAAAGATCTTTGATACCCAACAGTTCTGCAGATGGAAGAAGAAAGTGAATTCCACTGGGTCCTGCACTGGCTGGTACTATCTGATTTGAACATGTTGGTAGTTTATGGTTCTTTCTCCAAGAGCAACTCTAGTCACAGAACCACTGCAAATTGGAGAAGTCCAGGGAGGACACCAGGAATCCGGACTTTACCAACCCAGAATGCTTGCTGACTTCTAGTGCATTTTGAGGGGCATAGTTTCAGAGCATGGAATCTTAAATGCGTGGTGTGATTGCTGGAGGAGACTAGGGGGCATCTAGTCCAACACTGTCGTCATACAGATTGCGACTTTGAGTTTATCTTGGTGCAGACTGAGTCACATAACCTAGACAGAAACTCTGTTGCTTGATGACCAACAGCATCCCTACCCGTGGCCGGATATCAGAGCGCCCACGAAGACAGCAAAGATGGATGTATTGGGTTCAATTCATCCCACTAATGATAAAACTGCTGACACTCTGCTTTGGGTGGTCCTGAGGCCATCTTTCTGTGAGGGAGGTGACAGGTGCTGATTGCATTTTTACAGAAGGCCGGGCTTTGTCTGATTTTGTTTGTTAAGCAGCTGAGTGAGTTCAATTACTCTGAACTCTGACTCTCACCCAAGACCCAATCCCAAGCTCTCATCAGGCCCTCTGAGAGCCTCCAAGAGGCCTGGGAAGCTTCCACGCTTGGATCTGCTCACTTGCCATCAGATTGAGTTAATACACTGGGGATCAATGGCTTTCGGCTCAAGTTTGGAAGGAAGCTGTCCCCTGCCCAGATATGCCACTGAACAATAGCCTAGATTAGCGGTAACTGTGATTTCAAATTTCAAGGCAAATAGCTCTGCTGACACCCTCCACCACCTGCTTCCCCAACCCCCGCTTCACTTGAAGTTCACAGGGACAAATGGATGAGGTTGGCTATTCTGCCAAGGGCGTCACCTTCAAACCTGTAGGGCACCTGCAAACCCAGCCCTGGTGCTACTGCAGGAATCTGGGTCTTGCCCAGGGCCTTAACCCCCAGGACCGCTAGGAAAGATGAGGACACATCAGGGGAACTCAGGAACACAGCAAGTTCCCGTCTTCTCAGGCAGAAGTCCACGTGCAGCTGTCAGAATCATGAAAGACAGTGGACACTGACCTGGGTCACCAATGTGAACCGGTTGTCCATGCTCATCCCCCACGGAGCAACAGGCCTGCACCAGACGTTCCAGTTTGTCCTTGGGAACGGGCCTCACTGTGACCATCAGAGGGCAGCAAAAGCCAGCAATGGTGGCACAAGGCACCTCTGTCTGCCAAGAAATCAAGTGAAAAAATGTTAAAAAATAGAATTAGCACAGATGAAAGCCCTCAGGACCAAGAGTTCAAAGCAGCTCAGTGAAGGAGGCAAAAGCAGCTCAGTGAAGGAGGAGGTCCAAGTAGCCATCACAAAAATATAGCTTCCACTTTTTTTTTTTTTTTTTTGCTAGCTTCTACTTTTATGTGACGTAGAGATGAAGAAGATTGCTGGTAATTATTGGTCTAAAACAGAGAATCTTAATTTTGTACTCACCCTGGACCCCTTTGGAAGTCTGATGCAGCTACGGACCTGCTTAGTAGTAGTATTTTTAACTGTGTAAAAGGAAATGCATAGGATTACAAAGGAAACCAATGATGCTGCAAATGCAGTTATCAAATTATGAAAACAGGGGCTTCCCTGGTGGCGCAGTGGTTGCGAGTCCGCCTGCCGATGCAGGGGACACGGGTTCGTGCCCCAGTCCGGGAAGATCCCACATGCCGCGGAGCGGCTGGGCCCGTGAGCCACGGCTGCTGAGCCTGCGCGTCCGGAGCCTGTGCTCCGCAACGGGAGAGGCCACAACAGTGAGAGGCCCGCGTACCACAAAAAAAAAAAAAAAAAAATTATGAAAACACTACGATACGGTGATAGGTATATGCTTCTTCAATAGCAACGCAAGCAAGGAACAAGATGGGAGACCTATCGGAATTTTGAAGCAGTGATCAACATACGGGATATTTCTGAGATGTCAGGAAGGACTGCAGTGTGACACGAGCATGTCTGTGGCTTCTTTGGGCAGCCACCAAATCACAGGGGCTGCTGACGTGGTGCTGGTTATTTTTTCATTACAATCATAATGGAAGGAAACACTCCATTTCAGTTTGAGGCTATGAAAAAAAAAATGCAAATTTTTTCCCACCCAATTTCATAGACCCTCTGAATTTTCTCTTCAGACCTCAAGGGGCCCGTGAACACAAATGAAGACCTCTAGGAGAATCAGAGGCAGACGGTCCCCAAGAAGCGGGAGCCTCGAAGGAGGCCCCAGGGTCTCCTCTGTCCCATGAGTTCACAGACCCCACTGAGCCCTGCTCACTCCTCCTGCCTCAGTGGAAGCTGCCCAGGATGACCTGTGTGACGTTCCCTACTTATGTTGTTTATTTCTCCCCCCCGAATGCTTTTTGGTCCCTGTAGTGGGGCTTATGAAAGCTTCAGGCCATGGCCAGGAGGATATACCACTGGGACAGTCTTGGCAGCTGCCTGAAGGGCGTGCTGTTAGCACCCTGTCAGCAGCAGGATGAAACCTTGGTGTGCCTGCCAGGTTGATGTCTGCAGAACAGCACTCAGGAGGGAGCACATGCCAGGGACACTCACAAGAGACCGGCAGCACTCCTCAAGGCCAAGGCGCCTCCTTCTGGGGGACTCCCTGCATCCCCTCAAGGCCACCAACTGAATCTATGATGGCAGCCTGGCCATTTCTCCCAGCAGCCAACGGGCAGAGGCATCGATGTTAAACAGAAAGCTATCTGGTATCCACTGGGATGGTGAGGTGTGGCTAGACCATGGCTCTGCAGAGCACTTCCTCTGGGCAGCAATGGGCATCTCTGTGCAAAGCATCTTGTAATTGTCACACCTCCACTATGGGCATTTTACAGATGGGAGCCAGGAGTCCTGGGTTCCAGCCTGGCTTTGGGATTTAGGCAAGTCCCTTTCTCTCTCCAGCCTCAGCTTCTGCATCTAAAACGAAAGGCTGGCCAGGATGAGCCGCGAGGCCCTCCCAGCTCCTACCTGCCACAGACAGCGGTGTGTTCCAGGGCCAGCCCTGCAGGGGCCCAGCCAGAAGCTGCGGTTCTGCAACCCCCCTTCCCAACCGTCAAGAAAACCGCTCAGACACATATTTCACACATGAAAAGCAGCACGCACTGTGGGCAACCTTGTTTCTCATCAGAGGCAGCCTGGGCCCCTCTGGCAGGAGCCCAAATCAGGCAAGTTTTAATAAATGTCTCAGACCCAAGATGAAATCTCCAATCTGCGTCCTCCGTAAAGAAACCTGGGGCTGGCTGTTGACACTGGCTGCCCATCCATCCAGCAGAGCACATTCCCAGACTTCACACAAGTGTCCAGAAGGGATCAGGGGAATGAGGGATCTGGTTCTCCACGCCCCCCATCACCCCACCCCGTGACAAGCAGTGGCTGGAATAAAACCTCAAAAACACAGCAGGGAGGCGGCCCCATGGCGGGCACGTCCCCCAAGAGGCAGCCATTCTGCATTAGTGACCACCAGCGGCCGCCTCTGGCCAAGAACATGACCCAGCTTTCCTGACAGAGACATGACCTAGCAGCTAACAGCCTGGCCAAGGCTCTGCCACAAATCCCTGGGCATTTACCCAACCAGGCGCGCTCTCCCCGCTGCCAGGGAGCTTTTTCAAAAATCTCACTGAGGTGCCCGAAGTTAAAGGAGCCAGACGAATTCCAAACAGGTTTGGTTTACACAGCACAATGATCTGTCCGGAAGGGCTTGACTCGCACTCCCAAGGGCATGCTGGGTGCTCACAGTAGTGCCAGAGGTGGGCAGGGGAGAGGCTGGTGGTCCCATTTTCCAGATGAGGGAGAAAAGCCCAGAGAGGTTAACCGCTTGTCCTGGGTTGCCCAGCTAGAAAGTGGCCAGAGCTTAGGTCTCTTGCCTCCTGTGCCATTGCTCTCCCCACTGCAGGAAAATACGAGATGACCCACATTCTCAAGTCATTCTGCCCCTGTGGATTGCGTCCCTACCTTGTATGCACCCATGTGGCCGTGGCCTGATGAGTCCCTTCTGGGGAGTCCCCGCTTCTCCCAGGCCCCTTCCAGGGAGAAGCTGCTGCCCAGGAGGAAGGCCATCATGTCCTTCAGCTGCTCCGAGGACTCTTCCAGCGAGGTCAGGCTGCCCGTGCAGGTGCCGAACTCATACTTCCAGAACTGGGGACGCCCATCCTGGAGACACAAGGGAAAGCTCATAGGCCCCCAGACTCAGTATGGACTCTGACAATGCATTTTTAAAAAGGACTGGGGAATTATGGTTTTCTCAGGGTATATGCCCTGTAGTGGGATTGCTGGGTCATATGGTAGTTCTATTTGTAGTTTTTTAAGGAACCTCCATACTGTTCTCCACAGTGGCTGTGTCAATTTACATTCCCACCAACAGTGTAAGAGGGTTCCCTTTTCTCCACACCCTCTCCAGCATTTATTGTTTCTAGATTTTTTGATGATGGCCATTCTGACTGGTGTGAGATGATATCTCATTGTAGTTTTGATTTGCATTTCTCTAATGATTAGTGATGTTGAGCATCCTTTCATGTGTTTGTTGGCAATCTGTATATCTTCTTTGGAGAAATGTCTATTTAGGTCTTCTGCCCATTTTTGGATTGGGTTGTTTGTTTTTTTTTGACAGCATTGCCTTAGATCAGTGTTTCCCAAGTGTGTTTTAAAATATTAGTCTCATGTCTGTGTCACATGAAAAGAATCTACAGTCAAATTGAAATTCTACAACCTGTATCTCACCTCTTTTGTAGATTCTCAACAAACTTTAGCATATATAAGGGTCTATGAAGTCCTCCAGTCAAGGAACTAATTTAACTTTGGTACCCTAACTTTCAAATATATTTTACTGTGGAACCTTTTTTCTTAATTAATGCTTATGAAATACCTAGAACTAGTGTTCACTGGGGTCACTCTGGGATGTGCTATGTGTGAGCATCTCCTATTTTTATTCCAAAATGTGCATCCTATGGTAAGGACATTAAATAGATTTAGGGAAGATGAGTAGAAACAAGATAATTTTCTGAATGAGTATTAGTTGTGAGGACCCACTATCACCTTGTTTCATCCAAATATCAATAAGAAAATCACCTTGAGACGCAAGCGGGAAGAGATATGGGAACATATGTATAAATATAGCTGATTCATTTTGTTGTAAAGCTGAAACTAACATACCATTGTAAAGCAATTATACTCCAATAAAGATGTTAAAATGAAAAAAAAAAAATCAAAGAGTAAAACATTGCTACTCAAAAAAAAAAAAAAAAAAAAAAGGACTGGGGAGGAAGAAGAGGACATCTGGGGCTGAAATTTCAGACACCAGAATCAAGGTGGTGAGCACAGTTTTGGGCAGGGGGCCTTGCTGGCATCCTTCAACATCCTTCATCCTTTCCAGACTGGAAACTATCAAATCAGCATGAATATACTGTAGCCCCTGCCTCTGCCCTATTATATTTCCTGTAGCCTCAACCGGAAACCAGCCAAACCAGCAAGAAAAGGACAATGGCGCCCTCTCTGCCATCGAGGCGAGGCCCGCAGGCCAAAGGGACAAGGAAGCTCTCAGTGCTAGCAGTGGAAAGGCCTTTCTCTGCTTTCTTAGAGAAACTCCTCCACAGGGTTGAAAGTCTTTAGTCATAAGCCCATTCTTCCTTCACTCCAAAACCATTTTGCTGAGTCGCTCCTCCACGCCAGGCACAGGCCAGGTGATGGGCTATAGTGATGGAGAGGATAACGGCCAGCCTTTAAGAAGCTTGAAATCCTACATTAGCAGGCGAGACTCCATTGAAATCAGATGCTAGCAATACAGAGCAGTGAGTGCTAAATGCCTAGATAGAGGAGTGACTCAGAGAAGGGAGAGATCCATTCTCTCCCACAAATGGGGAGATGCTGGAGCTGGGTCCTAAAGGCTGAATAGTTCACCAGTTGGACAAGGAAGAAAGCACATCCTAGGCAGAGGGAGCAGCATGTGAACAGCATGGAGGCATCAAGCCCCTAAAAGCCGCTGAGATGGCAGCATGGGAGGGGCTAGTAAAGGAGTTGACCTCGGACCCAGGTGGGGCTCTGAAGGACCCTCCCACCCCTGGAGTCCACAAATGATAAGAGAAGAATGTTCTTGGGAACTTTTTCTCTGAGGAGACGGTTGGGGATGACTGGACTGTCGGAGTGGGGTAGGTACTGAGCCAGGGCCTGGTCACTACAGGCCTGATATCAAGTAAGGTACAAGCCACAGGAAGGCACCAAAGAACTTTATTTTTTTTTTTAATATTTTATTTATGTACATATGTATGTATTTGGTTGTGCTGGATCTTAGGAGCTCCTTACTTGTGGCATGTGGGCTCCTTAGTTGCAGCATGCATGTGGGATCTAGTTCCCTGATGAGGGATCGAACCCAGGCCCCCTGCATTGGATGCGCGAAATCTTAACCACTGCACCACCAGTGAAGTCCCTACACCGAAGAACTTTAAATGAGGGAGTCACGTGATCAGATGTAGAAAAAGTCACCCCAGGGGGAGAGAAGATGGGGATGGGGTGGGAGAATAGGAGAGGGAGAGAGTGGGACAAGGAGAACAGTTAAGACGTCACAGGATTTTTGGAGAGAGATGTGAGCCTGAGCTAGGAGGGCAGGAGAAATGTGGGTTCCCCAAGTGCTACTATGGAAGCAGAATCAGTAGGGCCATCTATTCCATATGTTGTATTTTAAAAGTCTGGGAGGGCTTCCCTGGTGGCGCAGTGGTTGAGAGTCCGCCTGCCGACGCAGGGGACACGGGTTTGTGCCCCGGTCCGGGAAGATCCCACATGCTGCGGAGCGGCTGGGCCCGTGAGCCATGGCCGCCGAGCCTGCGCATCCGGAGCCTGTGCTCCGCAACCGGAGAGGCCACAACAGTGAGAGGCCCGCGTACCACAAAAAAAAAAAAAAAAAAAAAAAAAAAAAAGTCTGGGAGAACATTCATGACAGTATTAACAATGTCTGTCTCTGGACGTAATTGCAGGTGGTTTTATTTCCTTCTTAACCCTGTGGAGTCAGGTTTCTAGCTTGGGTAATGAAGTGGACAGAAGGCAGTGCCATCTGTCCAGGGCTGGACTTTCTTGGTAGTCCCAAAGATTTTTCCCAGGGCAGGGGCAGGGGACAGGGGTAGGAGTGGACATACGAAGACGGCAGCCCCTTCCAAAGCAACAGTTATGAGTGAGGGTCCATGCCAGGCACCATGGGGTCCCCGAGGCTGGACAGAGAGGTTCCTGGTGACAGACACACCTGGCTGCAGCATCTGGCCACTCCCAAGCTTTAACCCCGAAAACTCAGGGTTTTTACCTGGTACCTGGAACCGCATCCAGGGCAGGCAACGTCCACTTGCCTGGCTCACTTTGGCCCAGCAGCGGCAGGGGGCCACTGTTGACCTGGTAGAAATTTTCAAAGGCCGGAGCAAGGGACCTGGGCAGGGCCACCACACTGGCTGGCTGGAGCCCTGGGTTTGGTGAGAGAAGGGAAGAATGCAGTCAGTTCCTTCTTGTAGAGGCTTTTTAATTTAACTTTTTATTGAAGCGTAACATACACACAGAAAAACGCACGTACGTGTACAGCTTGGTAACTTTCACAAAATGAACACACCCATGGAACCGGCATCCTGGTCAAGTCACAGAGTGTTACCAGCATCCCAGGACGCCCTGTGCCCCTTCTGGTCATCATCCTCCACACGCCCCCCACAGGGATAGTCACTGCCCTGACTTCTAACGCCACAGATTCCTTTTGTTTTTGCGGTACGCGGGCCTCTCACTGTTGTGGCCTCTCCCGTTGTGGAGCACAGGCTCCGGACGCGCAGGCTCAGCGGCCATGGCTCAAGGGGCCCAGCCGCTCCGCGGCATGCGGGATCCTCCGGGACCGGGGCACGAACCTGTGTCCCCTGCATCGGCAGGCGGACTCTCAAGCACTGCGCCACCAGGGAAGCCCCAGTATGTGTCTTTTGAGTCTACCTTCCTTCACTCACCAATAGTGGGTTCATTCTCATTGCTCTGTGGTATACTCATTACTACAATGCATTTACCTAAAACTATTGCTGATGGATATTTGAATCACTTCCAGTGTCAGGTTATTACAAATGGTGCCTCCGTGAACATTTTAGTACATGCATTTTGGGCACACATGTGCACGGTTCTATTTGGCACATACCTACGGTTGTAGGAAATATAATTGCTCAGCTTTAGTAGATAATGCCAAGCAGGTTCCCAAGTGGTTGTGATATTGACCAGGGTTCTTGGCCTTCCCCAATCAATAGAAATTGATAAGAGGTCAATCAAGAAATTCTGGGATTGGCGATTGGCCCCTTTATTGGGGCCCCTGCGGCCGCAGGAGGGAACGAAAATAAGTAACAGGTTCCCTTGCTTGCTTCCCGACGCAGGATAAGCTGGTTCCTTACATGGGGTGAGGGTAGGGGTGTGTCTAGGGGCTGGGCCGGAGCGGTGGCTTAGGTGTTTTGCCCACCCTTTTGGTGGCGTTGAGTGCAGGGGTCATGCACAGTACCCTACTTTTGCTCCTGACACCCTGTTTTTGCTCCCAGCTCTTCAGAAGTGGCAGTTGGATTTTTCGGTCTTTTTGTATCTTTTGTCCAGAATTTGCCCCAACTGCGCATGCACACAGTTATTTTTAGTCTTTATAGTTTCTTTGCATTTTGTAGCTCGAGGGGACATTTGTCCAGGTGCAAGCGTTGCAGCACTGCAGCAAATGGTCCCAGGTCCCAGCCGATCCCAGTTGTACCGATTTATACTCCCACCAGGGGGCGTGTGAGTTCCTGGTTACTCCATACCCGCTTCAACACTTGGTGTTGCCTCTGCCTTTTTCATTCCAGCCTTTCCAGTGGCATCGAACTGTGGTTTTCATTTGCACCCGCCTGATGAGTAACGCAGATGAGTAACGCAGATGAGTGCCTTTTTGTATGCGCTATTGGCCATTTGGGTATCCTTTTTGGGCAAGAGACCATTCACTTCTTTTGTCTGGGCAGGTTCTTTTTTTTTTTTTTTTTTTTTTTTTTT